AGGAGGAGGAGGAGAAAGAGGCAGCCAAGGTGATGGTGGTGGTGATAAAGGAGGAGGAGAAAGAGGTGGAGCATGAGCAGCAGAAGGAGGTGGTGGTGGAGGAGGAGCAGCAGCAGCAAGAGGGGGAGGAGAAATTCACATATCTATAACTTACCGCTTGTGTGTGCTGGGATGACAGATGGATATAGATTCCTGCTCCTGGAAGGAGCAACAGTCAAGCTTGAGTGTTGCCGCAAAAACAAAAGGGAAACAACATAGTGCAATTGGTGACTAGGTAGGATTCGATGGGAGTTGAAGGAAGCAGGAAGAACATGGTGGAGCGAGAGGCAGGTGAATTCGGGGGTAGAGGAGGAGGAGAAGAGAGGAGGACGACGAGGAAAGGCTGTAGTAATAGGGAGGATTTACCCGCTAGCCACTTGAGTGCGCTTTGCCGTTCCGCAGACTTTGTCACCTGCTGACCGGTGAGGGAGCTGGAGGAGGAGTAGAATGCGAAGTGCTCGACACTCACGATCGTGCTCCGGAGAGCGACAGAGCCAGGGGGGCACGCAGCAGCTTCCTCCTCCACCTCCCCTTTCTTCTTCTTTATGTCTGGCTGTGACTGAAAAAGATCGTGAGCACCACAGGATGGGAGGAGAAGGAGAAATTCCCCACCTTCTTCTTTCTGTTCGTGTCGATCTTGCGAGCCTGCTCCAAGATCTGCAGGAAGCAATGTGGTTCACAGCACGCTGGCGGGAAGCAAAGAATGCTTACGACTAGCTCGCTCTTCATCTCTGCCTTCGGTCGGGTGAACAACTTCTCCATCCCCATCTTTCTCTGTCACACACGGTAAATGAGCAGGGAGTATGGCCCCGATCCCTCGCCTGCGTCTCCCACTCCAAGTTGTAAGGGTGCGTCATCAAAACTCCATCATCGCCATCTCCGCAAAGGTTTCGGAGCTGAGTGAGCACAAGGAAACATGTCAGTAAATCATCAGCGGATTTGTCGACCCTGGTCACCTCTGCCAGCTTTCTCTGACAGAAGTAGAACCTGGCAACAATTGAATGATCGCTACAACATGGATTCAGAAGCCTCCACCTGTCTTTGAGTGCATCTATGCTCCGTGGAGTAGAGAGATTCCATCGGTCTGTTGGCAATTTCTTGATGAGCCAGAGAACTTCAAAGTGAGTTTCCATCAACCATTCACGACGATGAAGTTGAGATCGAATCTCTCCACCAGCTTGAAGAGCTGTCAAGACCAACCGATCAGCCCACCATCACCATCTCTCAGCAGGAGAACACCTCGTCAGTTTCTTGTTTCGTCCAGTCCGAAACCGTCAGATGTCGCGCGTATTCCTCCTCGTTGTACTTCAGAACCGCCGCCTGTTGTTTCTTTGGTTCACTCTCGGATCAGGAGCGATGCGGTTGAAACTTTCCTTCTTGTTGAACTTGGCGAACGGATACTCCTCTAGATTTATTCCCTTCCTCTGCAGCATACACATCACAAAACCCCAACACACCTGCTCCCCCTCCTTGTCCGACCTGCCAGTGACGGAGCTCTAAACCATCCGATCGTGCCGGGTTAGCAAAAGTCTTCCATTCCCATCCTTGTTGCTGCTTCACAGTCACCACACAAGACCTCCCTTCCTGCTTCGACCTGGATATTCGGCTGCTGCAGAATCACTGGTGGTACGACGCCTCCTGGCAGCGGCGGCTGTGACTGAGCTGCTTTCTGCTGCTCCTTCTCCTGTTGCATGCTCAGCCTTCCCGGTAGACATGTCCGGCAACAAGCTCGAGCCACCTTCTTCCTTTCGCGCCAAAGAGACGGAGGCGGAGTAGGGATGAGGCAGATCGGTGAGTCTCCGAGGTCCATGCCTCTCATGTAGCTGATCGCAGCGTCAGCGCTCAATCACCATGCCACGCATAGAGCAACCTGCTCAGACTACCCGAGGGCATCGTGACTGAAGAGCGCCGGTCCCACAAGCAAGAGGAATCAAGTAACCTGTATCAAGATATCAACCTCTGGTCGCATAAGCGGGGATGCTTGTCAAAGATGATCTCAGCTGTGCAATTGTTCTGTCCTTCCCTCCTCTATCGCTTATTAATGTCGGCTACGCTCTTGACCTGCCACATGGACTTCATCGTAACCGCTAACTTGTCTGTCCCTTCTCCATATCATTCACATGCACTTTTATTTGGATTGCTATCTCCACGTCCTTCTCATTCCCACAACCTCGGCCCCTCCCCTTGCACTGCATAGCTACCGTTCTACTGGTTCCATCTCACCCCTTTCACCTCTCCTCTTGTCTCTGTCCTCCTCATACTGCTTCCCCTCCTGCTGCTCATCCCCTCCTCCCTTTCCATCCCTCTCCTAGTAGATGCTCTCTCCCCGTCCCTCCCTTCCCCATCCTCCCTCCCCTTCCGCCCTCGCTCATCTCTGCCGCCACCCAGCCTCCATTAACTAAAATTGTGATACTTTTGAAGGGTGCGAGTCGAGAGTGCCACCGGGCCGGGGGGCTCAGTGACCGTGCTCCGGGCGTACCGTACCGAGTCACGAGTCACTGAGTCGAACTCCCGGAAACGCCGGGCCCGGCGGACGGTCCGATCGGGCCACGCGGCCCGCCGCCGGGCGGCCCGCCGCCGTACTGTGCCTGTAACGCCGGTACGGTCACAGCCGGGCGTGGACCGGCGGACTCGGGCCCGGCGCCGCGACTCAGCGCGGCCTGCCCGGCTGGGTGCCGGGGTGGCCGTGGACTGCAGCCTGAAATGGTCACATAGTTACGGCGTACTATGTTGAATGGTTGAATTCTGCCCAGAACTGTTCCGACGACCGTATCACGCTACGCACATAACACAGGAAAAAATGCGGAAGATCGCGCTATGATTCGGAGGCTCACTGAAAAAGTTTCTTGCACAATAATTTAAGTTACAAGCAAAAATGTTCACGCAAAAGCTTTGATGTCTGTGAATTAGGCGATGAAAGTTCCCTGATCATCCTTGACAGATCTCACAGTGGTGAAATACTTCGCAAGCGTCTTCCCAAGGGCATTTCTCAAGATCGGCGCCTGAAAGTTCAACAACCTTAGAACTCATCACATCACCCACGTCTACGTCACCTGTGAGTCAGACGCCTTCCTGTCAGACTGCGTTGTCTCCTGCTCCTGCACGGCATTGAACAGAGACAGGAACGAATGCCACCTGTTACCTGCAGCCTTGTAAGCGAGTCGAAGGTCCTATCCCTCTGCCCAAGATGCGTCAGTCGCTGAATCTGTCGAGTCTGCTCATGGAAAGGACCGATTGATGACGCGGCCTGTCTTGCCAGCTCGAGTGCATGCTCCCCCCCTGATGACGCAGGTGCATTCAGGGAGGAAAAAGCTTGCAAATTCGTCTCACATCAGCAGCAGCGATCAAGCCTTGGAGGGAACCAGGATCTAAGTCCGTCCTTGCCCGCTGAAAGATAGCCACGTTATGCCACAGCCACACTCACGCAGTAAGATGCACAACCTTGAGGGAGAATTGTACAACCTTCTCCTTCTGTTTTTCAGACTTGAGATTATGTTGGTGAGTTCTAAAACTGACTTACCGGGCTGAAAACGCCCAATGAATCCAAGACAGTCGAGTTACGACCAGACCCAAATGATAACACCAATGCTACATTTGATATATCAACCATTCTCTTAGAAAAAAATTACCATCTTACCAAGAGCACCGCACATAGCAAACGCAAGGGCAGCCAAAGCATATCTTGAATATCTGGGGATTCCATGCATGAGAACATCTTACATACTTCTGCAACAACTTGACACCTATTCTCAGGCATGGTGCTGCCCTTTGCGTCTTCCGCACCTGGAGCAACAAAGACGGTGTCACACGCACAGGAAACTATGCTTCTCACAAGGGAACAGTTGAGCTTTCAACAGGGTAAGGATGAGAGGAAGAGAGAGGCAAAACTATGAGGAGGATACAGGAGACAAAGAAGATGCCAGTATGAAGGCAGCAGAGCTGACTCTGTGCCTTATGCTCATCTCAAGCGGCCAGGTGAGCGTGCCGTACCTTGAAAGGTGCCGAATGATGCCATGGGCTTGTGATGGGTGTGGGTTGACATGGGATGGTATCATTCTTTTGAGGGTAGGGGTTACATATAATCTCCCAAGAGCCCCTATTTTGAACAATAAATAGTGGGGTACGATAAATTTATGGGGGGTACTTTCCTTTAACATGGGGGTCATTCAAATGGGGGTCCAACAAATTCCTGAAGTGGCGCGCAGGGTCGGAGGCTGATAACCTACGAAACTTGTGACTCCCGGCCCGTACTAGGCTTCGGAATCCCGGCGCCGCGGCGCCGGCCGGCCCGGGACCGTACCGTACGGTGATCGGACTCCGAGCGCGGCCGCGGGCTGTGTTGCGGATGCCAGGCTCCGGCTCCGGCTCGGCCCGGGCCTATCAGTCCGCCGGACCATGTGAGCCTACCGGCATTGCTTTGGTGTTCAACCAATCTGACTCCAGTGAGTTACTAGCCTAGTAGCCTGAACTCCGACCGCCGGCAGCAGCAAGGCTTCAAATGCCTCCGAGTACCCTCCGACTCATCAAAGATTCAGGCTGAGTGAGATGCTGCGTCCATGTGCAAGGCCAGAAGCTCACATCCAGCAGTCTGCACTGAGCCGTTGCGCGGGGGAGTCTTCGAATCTTCCGCCGCTGTCGTTCCAACGTTGCCGCACTCCGTTGAACTTCGAACAAACCGAGCAGACTCGTGACAGGCTCAACAAGCTGAACGGTGGTCGAGTTAACGGTCAACCGGATAGATTGTATATGTTATGAATCATTCATTTTCTTTGTATCTGTATGAATTTTCCTTCATCACCTTTGATTGACACTATAGCTACGAATTTCTTTGTGAACAGATGTGATTATTTCATCTTTGGTGAAATTTTGCTCCATGCGCAAAGCTTGCCTCTACCAGCGGGGACAATCAATTCCATCTGACCATCTGGAAGCTCAGCAAGATGAAAGACCTGAAAGTGGTGCGCAGGACGTTGATGCAAATTTCCAACACCCTGGTCTACAATCAGTGGGCTAATCGGGGCTTTGGAGAAGAGAAACTCGCAGCGATTCACTTGTGCGCCATGTCAGGAGGAGGGAGGACTGGGCAGGGACGTCTATACAAAGTAGAGAGCTTCATTAAGCTCGCTGCTTCCTCCTCTTGCCTACCTTCAGTCGTCTCCTGGAATTGCAATTACTCAAGAGACTACCAGAAGGCCTCGGAAGACGAAGCAAGATACCAGCTTTCGGTAAGCTCTCAGCGTGGTAAACTTAGCTGGACCTCCATGCCTTCAGTCGTCTCCTGGTTTCCTCAGACTAGAAAGGGCAAACGGCCTCCTCCTCCTTCCAACTCTAGCAAGCAGAAGATCGAGCGGAGGTATGGCGCCTGGAGCAGCATGCCGTCTGTGGTCTCGTGGTTCTCTACGGGAGGGAGCAAGAGTCCAGCTAAGAAACGATGAGTTTACCCAAGTCTGCTGGAGATTGCAGCAACCGGAGAAGCGGAGGGAATGAGAAGAAGTGGAGACAGCCAAAGGGTCAAGCAAACGGCTGAGAGGTCAACGAGGACACGTGCTGGAGGTTCAGTTCCTGCACGCTACTGAACGAGTCTCTGTAATATCTGAACCCAAGCCTCTACAGCTGGCGCTTGCTGTACTGGCTTAACTTTATGTATTCACCACCTATCGCGGAGCTTCGCGTGTTTATCCTTGAAAAATCTACTTACAAGTTGCTTGCGCGGCTGTTCAATGCGATCATCACGGCATGTGCAATCACATTCGCACCCATCAGCATCGAACAACTGTCCTTCTCCATCCCTTTGCTCGCCTTCCTCCTCACGATACAAAGTTGAACCATCCCGTCACTATCCGCTTCTCCTGGGACGGGGACGGGACCCCACGGTGTGTGAAGGTCCAGTCCGCTGGCCACACGAGCGTGAGCCCCTTCTTGGGCTGCACGGTGACCTTCTGGTGGTAGAACTCCGTCCCTCCTGCATCGTCCACCTCATTCAGGTACGTCATGAACACCAAATGGCGCGAGCCTTCTGGCTGCCCCCCGCCGGTCCGCTCTGTATGAAAGGTCTTGTACCCTCCTCCAGGAGGATAATACTGAAAGTTGGAGCGGGAGACTTGGGTGTTTCTACCGCTCAGTTATAGTGGAATGCGGGTTGGTCTGTAGGGACCGCCAGGGAGAGGTAGGTGACGACCACCCCTCCCTCCTCTACCCACTGCTGGAAGGACGCGGGCCACTCGTAAGCCACGGGCACGGCGAAATGGCTCTGCTCCGAGGTGATCCTCCCCACGCAGGCCCTGGACGCCGCCCAGAGGCTCGTGGAGGGCTGCACCTTGGCGATGTCCTGCAGCCATGACCGCATCCCCTTCTCGCAGAGCGCGTCGTCGTCGGCCAGGCGAAGGACGTCCACAAGGCCCACGGTGGTAGTCCTCGTGATGCAGTTCATGGGGTTGTTGGCGAAGCAGATGGTCTGGAACGCCCTGCTCAGGATGAGATGGCGCGTGCCTTGGTAGTCGAACATGCGGTTGTCCTGAACGAGGTTGTCTATGAGGCCGGCCAGCGCGTTGCCGATGACGTGTTCCCTTCATGGAGATCATTCCTCGCAGCTGTCCTCTCGGATTGTTCTCAAAGCAGTGGATCAGGTCATCGCAGATGCTGTCGTCTAGCATCCGCCATGCCCCCATGAACATGGCGCCCTCGGGCAATGCGAACTTTTCGAGAGCAGCCGCTGTCCCTCCGACTTGCTGTTGCTGTGGGACAGCAAGTGAGTTGACTGCCTTGTCCTTCTTCTTTCCACTCGATGAGGAAGCTGAAAATCCCTTCGCCTGCATAAGCCCTGTTCAGGCACTGAATGATACTCGCCAGTAGTCACTAGTAATGTCACGGTGCAAGTCTCCCGGGCCAGGCTGACTCCTCAGAGTCAGGCCGCGCCGGGCCGGGGGCTTGACGGGCCAGCCCGCCGGGACGGTCTGCCGTCACTGCCAGGCCCGAAGTGCCGGGTGACACGCCGACAGCCTGTGGACTGAAAACCGCGGCAGTTGGATGGTCTCTCAACAGTCTCGCCGGGCCCTCACACTCATCTTGGCCTCTCCCAGTTTCAACGCCGCCGGCGTCATACCGTACCGGCGGTTCAAGTTGTGGTATGGTCATCCCTCGGAGATATCGCTGAGGCCGCCGTGTGCGTAAGCCTTCTCGGCTCCGAAGTTGTCCTGGCCGCAGCAAGAGACAGTGGGCTATGAAGTGTGCTGATCATGAAGCTTGTCGGAGCAATGTGGCGCCGGCATGAGACTGCCATGCCTGAGACAGTCAACAGAGTCGTGAAAGCGAGCCGAGAATAAGTACGGTCACCGTGGAACGCGGCTTGGCCGCTCAGTGAGTGATGGCGAACCGTCACTTTCACAGTGTGAGTGTTGCGGCCCCTCAAGTGTCTTTTTCCAGTTTATTACAACCTTCGAATCAAAGATTGTTTGCAAACAAACCATAAATAAATTTAATGCACACAAAGCCGATGCCACGGAATCAATGAAAATAGCCTTAACCGTGATAACCACTGAAGAATCCGTTGCCTGCCACGGGCGATGGAGCAGCGGCGATGGCCCAGTAGAGCAGACCAGTCACAATGCCGGCACATGGGCAAGTGAGAAGCCATCCGCCGAAGATGACACCGACGAGCTTCCAGTTGACAGCTCCGACGTCTCCGTTGCAAAGTCCGACAGCAGTGGTGGCACCGGAGATGCAGTGAGTGGTGGAGACAGGAACTCCGAGACGAGAGAAGGTCATCACAGTGAACATAGCTCCCAGCTCGATACAGAAGCCGCGGGAAGGAGACTGAAGGGTCAGGCGGTTGCCAAGAGCGTCCATGATGTAGTAGCCCATCGTCAACAAACCGACGTCGAGCGCGAGACCTCCGTAGACCAGAAGCCAGATGGGAACCTCCGCCTTGCTTGCAACCGTGCCGGTGCTGTAGACCATCCAGACAGTAGCGAAGGGAGCGACAGCGTTAGCCATGTCGTTGGCGCCGTGGGAGATGGAGAAGAAGCAGCAGGTGGTGAGCTGGAGCATCTTGAACATCTCCTCGGTCTTGGAGTAAGCCTGGAAGGCCTTGGCGTGCATGGCAGCATCCTCCTCCTTGAGGCCTCCGATGTCCATGTAGAATCCAGGGAAGATGCACTTAAGAACACTGGTGAGGATGCTGTCGTTCTGTGGCTTGTCCTCGATTTCATCCTTTCCAAAGTAAGCACCCTGAACCATCATGGGGGCTTGACCAGGCATCATTGGAGCCTGGTTGAAGTACATGGAAGGCTGTGGCATGTTCTGATTAAAGTTTCCAGTCTCAACGAGATCGACTTTGTTCTGATCTTGCACGTTATTCTCCTCGTTGTATCCCATTGAACCAACAGGAACGGAGCAGATGTAGAACATGGTGTACCATGGCAGGTTCTCGTTGTCCACAATAGCACGACGAGTCCATGGCACGCAGAACAAGTAACCGAAGATGCCAAAGAAGATGCCGATGGCAAAGGTGACGGGAACAGTAACTTCGTAAGGTGTCTTCTTCAATGCAGGGATTCCCTTCATGACCATGAAGCCGGCCACGACGCCAAAGGCGAAGAAGAAGTAGACGGGAAGGAGCGCAATGCCGCGCTTGACGGCGACATCGTCGGGATGCTTGAGCACGAGGAACTTGGTGCTGAGGTAGAAGATTGCAGCCAACACTCCAGAGAGGATGGGTGAAATGAACCAGGATGCAACAACTCCACCAAACCCTCCGTCATAGCCCCAGTTCACTCCAGAAGCACCCCAGGTTGCAATACCGATACCAAGGATGGCGCCAACAACCGAGTGAGTAGTCGAGACAGGCATAGACAGCGTGGTGGCGACGAACACCCATCCACCAGAGCCAAGGTTGACGCAGCTCATGCCCAGGGCAAGGACGTAAGGATCATGCCTGAACCAGTCCACCTTGACCATCTTCTTGCGCACAGCATCGGTCACAGTGCTGCCCAGAGCAATCACACCAACAAGCTCGCAAACGCACGCGATCGAGACAGCTGTCCTGAAGGAGATGGTCTTGGCTCCAACAGCGTTAGCGAAGGCGTTGGCAACGTCGTTGGCTCCGATGGTGAAGGCGTCAAGGAAAGCCCAGAAGAAGGCCCAGGTGATGAGACCCTTGTACAGGTAGGGGATGCCGATCTCGGGACTGTCGACCATGGTGGCAGCACATGCTGATACGGAGAGAAACAGCACCACGTAAGGCAGGAAACCACGTGCGGTGGTGAGGGACCTAGAAAGCAGGATCAGGATCGAAGGTCTTGGGGGAGAACAATACCTCTTGGACATGGTCATTGCAACGAATGGAAGGCTCGAGTCTATCAGCTGCAAGAGCAGGAAGGGGATCAACGAACGCGGAAGCTCACTGAGATGAGTAGAGCACGGAGGAAGAGTCACGCGTGGGCAGGGGAGGCGAAGTGGACCAGAGGAGGTTTCACGTAACCTTCACATCAGAGAAGCAAGGAGGCACCCCCTACCCCCTCCATACTATCACCCCCACCCTATGTTTCCTGCCACCTGCATCTGGAGTACCCACTTTGTATACTGCAATGTTATGGAAAAGGATAGGGTACAATGGACACACTGCGGTCGGGAGTAGCGAAACGTCAGGTCAGGGGGTAGTTCTACGTCTGCATTAGGGATCGACGAGAAGGCATCTTTTCGAAATCTACGCCTCTTGGTAGGGGTGTAGACTGCCTGAGAAGAAGGGGGTCTTCCTAGGGCTTTTGAGGGTAGGGTGGTCCTCTGTGGAGCCGTAGTACCAGGAATGACCAGAAAAAAAGGGAAAGAGGAACGCTGTCAACGTCTGTGGGGACAAATGACCAGAAAAAAAACAGAACGAACCCCCACCATAGGCAACCTATGACCCACCCACCATGCCTTGAAGAGGCACCCTACCTTCTAGGAGGTTCCCAGTAGGCATCATAGCACCAACAGATACCACTGGTAGTCACTGCCAGGTGCCCGCTTGCGGGGGTTCAAAATAAGGTCAAAGAGCAGCAGGGTAGGGTATCGCCGTTGATAGGGTAGTGACAAGAATTACAATATTATATATAAAACAGCTGCTCGTAGAACGGTTACATCGATTGGTCCAACGTAACGACAAAGGGATCCGTGTGCAAAAATGGCGGGAGCGCTCGGGTCGATGAAGCATTATGAGAAAAGAGCGCTGCGCGTAACCGCATGACAAGACGTGTAAACAGAATTATTCTGAGCAACTCGGATCGATATCCGTCAAGATCTCAACCAGTAAGAAGATCTATGCGCTTCAACTTGAACACTGACGATGCAACTAGCAATGCGTCGTCGGGTGAATGTATGAAAAAAGAATTTGACGCACGAGATTGGTGACACAACGAGATTATTCAAAGAACCAGGGGAATGTATGTTAATGTCCACAATAAAAAACAATCCAGTAGAACGTGAATGTGAACAATGTATTGACCAAATTGAACACAAATGACCAATATATGAAGGCCGGAAAGTTTGCACAAGATAAACGTAAAGATCGCAGAGAGTTGAGATGTGGAAATAATTTCCTCGGCAGGTGATGACTTTAAGGAGCAAGATGTAATTGTCCTGTGAAGTGGTCCGCCCAATAGCTGAGGCAAGTTCAGCGTTAGCAAGGACAAGCTCCTCATATCAGTCGATGAGCACTAAGATCAAGGGGACCGTATATGAAAAATGACTTGGCTAGAGACTAGAAGGTCCTTCGAACTAGGTAATCCTCGTTACGCACGAGCCTCGGAGGCGAGGCCTGATTGCGATGCGACGGAGCTTGCCTCCAGTTTGCTAACGATGATAATGAGAGAGTAGTTGAAATGAGTGTTCCAATTGAGAGGGGTAGAGAATAGAAAGAGAAAGTGTGACAGATAGGCAAGGAGGGAAGGGAAGGAAGGACAGGGCAGGAACGTGGCAAGAGATTGGTGGCAGAAAAAGTTGACTGACGTCGTAAGCGTTTAGACGTAAGAAAGTTGCGAACATGTTAGAGATATTTCACAAACACACACACATCATTTTGATCCTTCACACTTGAATTAACTCTTTCGTAATTTCTACCACCATTCCGGTCACCAATTAAAGCTGTGTGCTCGTAGGGTAAAACATATAACACACACAGTTCACTGCCGAAGTGCGGCCGGGGTGGGGTCACAGCCTGTTGGGTAGGGGTGAGTTACCCGGGTGAGTAAGGGACTGGTACGGTATTCAATACCGTCTGACGGAAGTCTGACGACCGTATAGACGGCACGGTCGGTCGGTTCCGGGATTCAGCCCCGGCCGATCATCGGATCGCAGGCTGCCTGGAATCGGATTGAAATCAAGGTGGTTTTGAAATGATCGTTCCGCAATTTCCCTGACTGTTTGAGTCCAAAGATTGCCTGTTTGAGGCGTAAGACCTTGCCAGATGGAAGTTTGAGAATTTCAGGAGGAGCAATTGAGACAAGTTGTTCGATTGGGCTGTACAGGTATGCAGATCTGGCCTTTCTCCGTTCGGAATTGAATGTTGATGCCAGTGAGAACGGACACGGTGATCTGTGGAGACGTTCTGTGCAGTATTTGCCAAGATCATGTCTTGTAGTTGTACGAAAGGATCGCTGTTGAGGCAATTGGTGAGGCCCTGTACGACAGTGTTGATTATTGCTTGTTGAATGGTTTAGTGAGCACACTGCAACGGTCTTCGAGGTTTAATTGAATTGAACGCGAGGCAGCTCGTTGCGAGGATGGTCGTTGCCGCTGTCGCTCGAGATAAGAGCGCTGTGTCGGCGTTGGCGAGTTGTAGCGTCCACTCGCGGCGGTATGTGACCGTCGACGTTGGAACGTGAAGCAGTCTGAGCGTTGTGATGCAGATGTTGTATTGTTGTGGAGGTGCGGGCACGGGGTTTCCGTCGCAGCGTCATGTCGGCTCCCGTGGGTGGAAGCGTCATGATGAACTTCGTGATCTTCATCGGCTGAATGCTCGGATGAGTCTTGATCTGCTGGCAAGTCCAGCGCAGGCAGGAGGATGTTGTGACCTATTGGTGCGACTCCTACGCCGCGCAAGCTTGCTCCTAAAGAACAGGACGCGCGTGCAGCATGAAACGTGTACTTGTGACAGGGCGTGCAACGTGAAGCGTGCCGGCTGCCGCGATGAAGCGCGCCGTGACTCCCGCCACCACAGCGGCTGCCAACCAGGACGAGCAGTCTGCACGCATACAACAGACGCCCTCGCCCTCATACGTTCATAGCACAACTTCCCGTCGGCATCCATGTGGAACCTCAGGGTCTGGCCCCGGGCCACACTACCGGCGAGCGTCAGCCTTCGGGCGGCCGCTTAGCATCGGAGGCTCGCCGACCACGAAACCTTCCCTGGGGGGTCAAGGCTAGTAACCGGAGTCAGGGCCTGCCGCAGTCGGAGCCCGGCTCGATCCGATGATGGCGGCCGGCCGGGCCAAAGCCTGAGGTAGCGGCTACTCTCGGCTTTTTTGTTGTTTTGTTGAGATTCTGATGTGTCAGGAGATAGGACCTACGGGGTGGTACTACCCCACCCAACTTGATGTGTGACGCAGAAAATCTTCAAATACCAGTTTTTACCCATCAATGATAGATTTCTTTAACCGGTACTTGACATACCACCCCCACAACACCACGAGTACCCAGTACCCACACCCCCTATAGTCTCATGTTGGATGAACGGATTCTGGAGAAGATAAAAAAATGTATCGTACCCCCCGAATCGATGCGATCCTTGACAATTTAAGGGGGTAGGGTTATGTCGCTCTGCTGAGAGGGGACACCTGGAAATGCGCTCGGGATCAAGGTACGGCGGCGCATTAAGTGGAGACGACGGAGGGAAGGTTTCAGATGTACAGGACACAAGATTGAAGAGAACAACTCAGATAGAATCGTGTTAGATGAAGATGTGATGGAGCTGGCAAAGTGAAACTTTGTCATGGTCAGACATCCAGTTTGCAGAATCCTTTCCTACGGGATTATTGGGGTGTGCGATTGAAGAGCGAGGGACAATGAGGGAGAAGCAGGACAAGGAGGTCGTACAGACAAAATGGATTTAGAGACGAAAGGACAAGAAGAAGTGAAGCATGAAGGGCGATGGGCTGATTGATTGTCATGAGCAGGGTCCGTACACGAAACAAGAATGCGAGCGAGACAGCGTCTCATGGTAGATGTAGACCTATTTGCGTGCTCTTGTTTCTCACATCGCCTCTTTTTGGTCGAACTTTGACTTGGGCTGGCTGATGTGGCTACATCATCAGCCAGGTAATCATCAAACGATCTCTGGCAGATTGTTGTATATTTTTTGCCTCGATTTTCATCTAAGCATTGTGATGTCTTAGTGTTGAGTTTCCAACCGATCATGGGCATTTCGGAAGCACGATTGAAGAGGTGTTGCTGGAGCAGAGGCTTGCTGTGAAAGACGATTCTCATGCTTTCATGTTAGATCCGTGAGAGAACACGACAGCAGGGCATGCAGCTTGTCTCAGAGTCTGCAAGGGTGCTCTAGAATGCCTTCATTGACTGCAAGGTTGACTTGCCACAGGGGATGACTATCAGAGAGATAGAATCTTTCTGGCCGTCCAAGTTTGGGTGAGTACAACAAGTTACACCCAATTCAGTACGTGAGTTTGATACTAATCCAGGATCAACCTTCCGACTGAAGATTGTGGATTTCGGGTCTTCTTCATCTCTGCATGCCTTGTTGCCAAGGCAGTGACTTTCTCTTGATGCAGAGCGCATTAGATCTCTTCAGAGGTTTGCAGGTAGTATCAAATTGCGAAAGGTACCACAGGCTCTTCTTATGCTGTGGCAGGGTTTCGTTGTCAGGGTTTCGTCTTACGGGAAGGAAAACGTCGTCACCGTAGATCCAAATTATGCCTCCAAAGTACCACAGGCTAGAGTCTCTGCTGGTATCACTACTCCGCAAAGCCAAGTCGTCAATGCCCCACTGAGCAGAGGGCTAGCCGTTGAGCAGAGGGCAGCCACGAATGCTCCGAGCATTCCTGTGAAGAAGCTGGAACAGCCGAAGAGTACTGGTCACAATGCTGTGGTGGCGAGCAAGATGCAAGTAAATTCTCAGATTCAACAAAGTCAAAGCGTCACACGAGAAGCTCACATCCAGCAGTCTGCAGCCGTTGCACGGGGGTCTTCGAATCTTCCGCATGTCGTTCCAACGTTGCCGCACTCAACTTCGAACAAACCAGCAGAACAGGCTCAACAAGCTGAACGGTGGTCGAGTCAACAGGTCAACCGGACAGATTGTATATGTTATGAATCATTCATTTTCTTTGTATCTGTCATTGTATGAATTTTCCTTGATCACCTTTGATTGACACTATAGCTACGAATTTCTTTGTGAACAGATGAGATTATTTCATCTTTGGTGAAATTTTGCTCCATGCGCAGGTCTTGTCGTGGCTGCGTAGCACTTTGAATAAAGCTGGAGTTCAAGAGAAGGCAATTGATCTCTATACCAAGAAGTTTCAGCTGCATGGCAAGTTGTTGAATCGATTTACACCCATGCTCATTTGATGGATACAGAGATCCAAGGAAGCCATTTAAAGCTTCTTGATAACCAGCGCCTGAGGTTTATGTCGAGAATGTAAAGGTCTATTCTAAACAAGCAACACAGAGAAGATCTTGGTATCGCCATCCTTGGTCATCGATTAGCAATTTTGGAGGTAGGACCGACTTTTGAGATTCAAATGTCCCTTGGTTAAGACAACTTATACATGTTCTGTGACAGGCGTGCCATCATCTCTTTCCACAAGTATGTCAAAGCGCCTCTGCAACTCAATTTTTCAATGCGACCACCCTCGTGTAACATGGAACCTTCCGTAGGCGAAAATCATGCAGGCATCGTCAGTTGGCGTCACGAAGAATGATCCTAGTAATTTGAAATCAGCGAGTCGCCTCATGAAACTGATGAGTTCTCGCGTTCTTCTCCTCAGTCATAATGGAGCTCTTTAAACTTCATCAGACAAACCTAAATGCTATCTCAAAGTTGCAAACTGACCTCCAAGCAGCTGAGAGACGATTAGCAGAGATGGTGAGGCGACGAGGATAGCCATTTTTCTCGTGTTCATCTTTGATTTACTTCGTTGTCTTCCAGGCACGGGACTCGAATACCGCTTCAAAATCCTCATCGCAAAGTGTTCTTCCAGCTGGCACAACCAATACTGTGAAGAGTGCCGGAGAGAGAAAGATTATTTCCAGCAAGGCAATCGCGAAGACAGCAGGGCAAACGGAAGCAGCACCCGCTACTCAACAACATGCATCTGCGCCACAAGTTCAGTTGTCAACATTTCCACAAGATGCCAACAGAATGACGCACTTCGTCTCATTGCCGATTGTAAATCCAAGCATCTTGCAGAATGTTGCCAGAATCCAACAGTCGCTGATGAAGTCACACCCAATCTTACGAAGTGGAATGATCGACATCACCAAATTGCACATCTCTCTTGCTGTGTTCCGATGTGACAACGATGATGCTCTTTCTAGAGTCCGCAAGGCTCTGCAAGCAAGAGCCCAAGATATCATCGAGTGTGTGAAGAATCGAGAGGGTTCAAACGTCTCTTCTCTTAAGGTTGCAGGTCTTTCAATGTTCGGGAACCAAGTCCTCTGGTTGAAGATTTCAGATCACGAATTCTTGCAGAGGATTTCATCTATTGTTTTGGAGGCGGTGAAGAGCGCTGGTAATGGAGTGAAGCTTGCCTCTACCAGCGGGGACAATCAATTCCATCTGACCATCTGGAAGCTCAGCAAGATGAAAGACCTGAAAGTGGTGCGCAGGACGTTGATGCAAATTTCCAACACCCTGGTCTACAATCAGTGGGCTAATCGGGGCTTTGGTGAAGAGAAACTCGCAGCGATTCACTTGTGCGCCATGTCAGGAGGAGGGAGGACTGGGCAGGGACGTCTATACAAAGTAGAGAGCTTCATTAAGCTCGCTGCTTCCTCCTCGTGCCTACCTTCAGTCGTCTCCTGGAATTGCAATTACTCAAGAGACTACCAGAAGGCCTCGGAAGACGAAGCAAGATACCAGCTTTCGGTAAGCTCTCAGCGTGGTAAACCTAGCTGGACCTCCATGCCTTCAGTCGTCTCCTGGTTTCCTCAGACTAGAAAGGGCAAACGGCCTCCTCCTCCTTCCAACTCTAGCAATCAGAAGATCGAGCGGAGGTATGGCGCCTGGAGCAGCATGCCGTCTGTGGTCTCGTGGTTCTCTACGGGAGGGAGCAAGAGTCCAGCTAAGAAACGATGAGTTTACCCAAGTCTGCTGGAGATTGCAGCAACCGGAGAAGCGGAGGGAATGAGAAGAAGAGGAGACAGCCAAAGGGTCAAGCAAACGGCTGAGAGGTCAACGAGGACACGTGCTGGAGGTTCAGTTCCTGCACGCTACTGAACGAGTCTCTGTAATATCTGAACCCAAGCCTCTACAGCTGGCGCTTGCTGTACTGGCTTAACTTTATGTATTCACCACCTATCGCGGAGCTTCGCGTGTTTATCCTTGAAAAATCTACTTACAAGTTGCTTGCGCGGCTGTTCAATGCGATCATCACAGCATGTGCAATCACATTCGCACCCATCAGCATCGAACAACTGTCCTTCTCCATCCCTTTGCTCGCCTTCCTCCTCACGATACAAAGTTGAACCATCCCGTCACTATCCGCTTCTCCTGGGACGGGGACGGGACCCCACGGTGTGTGAAGGTCCAGTCCGCTGGCCACACGAGCGTGAGCCCCTTCTTGGGCTGCACGGTGACCTTCTGGTGGTAGAACTCCGTCCCTCCTGCATCGTCCACCTCATTCAGGTACGTCATGAACACCAAATGGCGCGAGCCTTCTGGCTGCCCCCCGCCGGTCCGCTCTGTATGAAAGGTCTTGTACCCTCCTCCAGGAGGATAATACTGAAAGTTGGAGCGGGAGACTTGGGTGTTTCTACCGCTCAGTTATAGTGGAATGCGGGTTGGTCTGTAGGGACCGCCAGGGAGAGGTAGGTGACGACCACCCCTCCCTCCTCTACCCACTGCTGGAAGACGCGGGCACTCGTAAGCACGGGCACGCGAAATGCTCTGCTC